AACCGGTACCCACTGAGTGCTGGCAGTCCATGAGTTTGGATTTTGAGTCTCGCCTGCCGAAAGATTCGGCGGGTAACACAGGTAGCGTGGTATTCTTCGACCGTTTGAGCAAAATGGCTCATTTGGCGGCGGTACCAGACACCATCGGCGGAGTCGGTACAGCAACGCTATTCGTTGATCGTGTTTTCCGACAACACGGACTCCCAGAGTCGATTGTCATTGATAGAAGCCCCGCTTCATGGGAGAATTTTGGTCGGCTTTCTTCAAGGTGCTAGGCACCAAGTTGTATATGGCGACAGCGGATCATCCGCAGACCGATGGTCAAACCGAGAGGGTGAATCGCGTCATCGAAAACGTTTTTCGCAGCGTCTACGCTGCGACGCCGATGCGCTGGAGCGCCATGTTGCCGCTCGTAGAGTTTGCACTGAGCAATGCAGTGCATTCGTCTACCGGCTACACGCCGTTCTACGTGAACGGGCTGAATAACCCTCGCGTCCCGCTGACGCCGCCATCCCATGGCTCAGGGCTTGGTGGAGGAGAAATAGCCGAACGGTAAGCTGATGTCAGCCCCTCACCATCCACAAAGAAGTCGATGACTTCTTGTCTACCAGACTGAGTATCCTACGACAGGTTCGCGATGCGATGACTGAAAGCCAAGACCTGCAAAAAGAATATGCAGATGAAAAAAGGAAGAGGCAAAGTGGAAAGCTTTACGGTCGGGGATCTGGTTTTATTAAATTCTAAAAACCTGCCCCCACATGCAGCCTCTGCTAACTTCCGGACGAAGCTTCGTCCACGGTTTATTGGACCTAGCGTATACGCCAAATCCTCCCAAACGGATGCGCACTCACGCGGTATTTTACGTGGGCTTGCTCAAGCCGTACCAGGATCCGGTGCAAGTGAACGCGAAAGCGTTGGCGCCGGAGCGGATCCCACCGGCCCTCGGCCATCCAGAAGTTGAACCAACAACTATTTCTGAGCACATAGTGAAACATACTCTATTTCTAATGGCGCCAAGCGCTCCACGGTCGCATGCAGCGACGCATTCGCCTGCTCCA